TTAAGAGATGAGGTTTCACCATCTTGGCCAGGCTGGTTCTAAATTCCTGAGCTCGTGATCCACCCACCTCGGCCTCCCAAAGTGCTGGGATTACAAAAGTGAGCCACCATGCCCGGCCCCTTGGTAGTATTTAAAAAGCGAAGCCTTGAAATTCTGCTTGAAATCACCCAGTGATAAAAAACATTTTTGCAGTAACTCCCATTAATTATTAATAGAAGAAAAGAAAAACTGAGAAACCCATAAACCAAACCAACGGTATTCCCATTCATGACCCACACCCCGAGTCAGGATTCTCCCGACTACCCTCCGGTGGTCCCTGGGAGAGACAATCTGAAAGAATGGCGGCGCTGCAGGTGCAGAGCTGCCCAGAGAGGGCGCCAGGCCAGGGCACTGTCACTGCGCGGCCGCCATCTTATTGCTGAAGGGACTGAGGCCGAGCTGGGCAAAGAGAACTCAGGCCAGATTATGGAGCTGACTGCGGGGAGGCCTAAGTCCCCTACGGCCACTTCCCACCGGTTCCAACAAAACCCTTCCCCGAGGTCGGACCTGGCACTCATACCATTTCTAGGCTTCCAGGGGGTCCTGGCATCTTAGCTGTGGATCTCCAGTACCAGCAGGTCACAAGGCCACAGAGGTTGGGCCTCTAGTAGCAGAGGTCACAGGACAGAGAAGACGACATCCGAAACTCCAGGGGCAAGACACAAAGCCGCCGCCACATCTTAGAAGCCACCCTTTCCGGCACCAGCTGCGTGCCTGATTGGACGGTTCCCAGGACAGCGTTACTGATTGGATAAGGTTTAAGACCCCACCGCCTCAGGCCCTGAGTGACAGAAGACTTGACCAAATGCTGGCTAATTGAAGAAAGAGTGACAGCTGAAGGTGCAGCCTTTTCAGGCAGGGCTTCCTCGCTGAGCTGAACCCGGCCCATTCCGGAGGGTGTTTGCCTTTAGCCATTTGTATAACGTCTCGTGTATTTGTAAATTATGTACTATGTGGGTGCTCACACATGAAAAGAATAGAATAAAAAATATTGCTTTTCAAAATGTCTGCTTTTATAACCTTCCTGGCTTTTGGTCCTTGAGCAGGCAGCCTGAGATTGTTTTTTGTTTTGTTTTGAAACGGAGTCCCATTCTGTTGCCCAGGCTGGAATGCAATGGCGCCATCTCGGCTCACTGCAACCTCCGCCTCCCAGATTCCAGTTATTCTTCTGCCTAGTAGCTGGGATTACAGGCATATGCCACCACGCCGGGCTAATTTATTTGCAGTTCAGTGGAGACGGGGTTTGAAGATGTTAGCTAGGCAGGTCTCAAACTCCCGAACTTAGGTGATCTGCCCACCTCCACCTCCCAAAGTGCTGGGATTACAGGCATGAGCCACAGCGGCCAGCCGCCAAGCTAAAAACAAGAAAACACGCCAGACATGGTGGCTCACGCCTATAATCCCAGCACTCTGGTAGGCGGAGGAAATCGGATCACCTGAGGTCCGGAGTTCAGGACCAGCCTGGCCAACATGGTGAAACCCCATCTCTATTAAAAATACAAGATGTAGCAGAGTGTGGTGGTGCGCACATGTAGTCCCAGCTACTTGAAAGGCTGAGGCAGAAGAATCTCTTGAACCCGGGAGGCAGAGGTTGCAGTGAGCCAAAATTTCGCCGCTGCTGTCCAGCCTGGGTAACACAGCAAGACCCTGTCTAAAAAGAAAAACAAACAAACAAACAAATGAAATTCTATTATTTAGCACAACTTTAGTGGGAAAATTTAAACTCGACCAGGTGCGGTGGCTTACGCCAGTAATCCCGGCACTTTGGGAGGCTGAAGTGGGTGAATCACGAGACCAGGAGTTCGAGACGAGCCTGGCCAACATAGTGAAACCCCATTATCTGCTAGAAATACAAAAAAGAAAAAAAAAAAAAAAAAGTCTGGCATGGTGGCGGATGCCTGTAATCCCAGCTACTTGGGAGGCTGAGGCAGGAGAATCGCTTAAAACCCGGGAGGTGGAGATTGCAGTGAGCCAAGATTGTGCCACTGCTTTCCAACCTGGGTGACAGAGTGAGACCCTGTCTCGAAGAAAAAGAAAAACAACAAAAAATCTATTATTTAACACAACTTTAGTAAGAAAACTTAACTCAGCCAGGCATGGTGGCTCACACCTGTAATCCCAGCACTTTGGGAGGTCGAGGTGGGTGGATCACGAGGTCACAAGTTCGAGACCAGCCTGACCATCTCTACTAAAAATAAAAAAATAAAAATAAATTAAAAAAAAAAAAAAAGCTAGGTTTGGTGGCAGGTGCCTGTAATCCCAGGTACTCAGGAGGCTGACACAAGAGAATCACTTGAACCCAGGAGGCGAAGGTTGCAGTTAGCTGAGATATGGCCATTGCACTCCAGCCTTGGCAATAATGCAAGACTCCATCTCAAAAAGAAAAGGAAAGAAAAGAAAATTTAAACTCTACTGTGTAACTATATCCTTTACAATATAATCTGCTATGAAGTCTACTATAGAAGATAAATTTCTAACCATTGCCTTATTTACTCTAAACCATAGAAAATAAAATCTAACAAATGATGCCCATTCAAAAGAGTATCGGCCTCCTGGTAACACTCTAAAACCTATTCTGAGTAAGATTTTTTACAACTACAAAGTAGGTTAAAAGCAGTGGATCTATATTCTATTTCTGATATTATGAGGCAACAAATGTCTCATTAAAACTTCTTACCCACATTAGCCCTTCATCTCCTGCCTCCCAAAGTGCTGGGATTACAGGTGTAAATTTGGCTGGATGCAGTGGCTCACGACTGTAATCCCAGCACTTTGGGAGGCTGAGGCAGAAGGATCACCTGAGGTCAAAAGTTTGAGACCAGCCTGGCCGACACGGTGAAAACCCATCTCTACTAAAAATACAAAAATTAGCCAGGTATGGTGGTGGGTGACTGTAATTCCAGCTATTTGGGAGGCTAAGGCTGGAGACTCGCTTGAACCCGGGAGGTGGAGGTTGCAGTGAGCTGAGGTAGTGTCACTGCACTCCAGCCTGGGCAACAGAGCAAGACTCCTTCTCAAAAAAAAAAAAAAGTTTTGCTGGGCGCATTGGCTCATGCCTGTAATCCAAGCACTTTGGAGGCCAAGGCGGGCGGATCACCTGAGGTCGGGAGTTAAAGATCAGCCTGCCCAACATGGTGAAACCCCGTCTTTAAAAAAAAAAAAAAAAAAGTTTTATACAGATAATGTTGGCTGCAAAATTCTCTACATACAATTACATTCCATGAGTGCACATGAGACCCCCTTTTTTACATATCTGTTGTTTATAAAGCCATTAGAAAACTGCGAACTAAGACTGTCATGTTAGCAGTCTTGATCTCGTGGGAAAAAAAAAAGCTATCTACATCAAGATTTTCATCTGCTTTTGAGGAGAAACTTTCCTGGTTAGCATTATCTTATATCTCCTATGGGTTTACAATTGCAAGGGTTTGGATAGGCTCTTCTGAGTTGTGAGACTATCAACGCAGTGCTCAAAGTCTTGAAGTCTTGCTTCAGTGGAGATGGCAGGAAGACTCAATGTCTGGGTTCTAGATTATAAAGTGTTAGTTACTGTCTTCAGTAAGTAGACTATTAAAGGCTTTCTTTATCTGGTAAAAACATGCTTTACCATAATGCATGAAAGCTTTCTTGCATTTAGTAATATTAGACTTCAGAAGCAGATAATACATGAGATATTTTTGTTTTTTGTTTTTTTGAGACAGAGTCTCACTCTGTCACCTATGCTTCAGTGCAATGGTGTGATCTCAGCTCACTCCAAACTTCACCTCCTGGGTTTAAGCAATTCTCTCTGCCTCACCCTCGCGAGTAGCTGGGATTACGGGCACCCGCCACCATGCCCAGCTACTTCTTGTATTTTTAGTAGAGACGGGGTTTCACCATGTTAGCTAGGCTTGTTTCGAACTTCTGACCTCAGGTGATCCACTCGCCTCAGCCTCCTAAAGTGCTGGGATTACAGGCGTGAGCCACTGTGCCTGGCCTGCATGAGGTTTTATTCAATGCATGGGCCTTCCGATGACTATTTTATTTTTTTCACTCTAAGTAAATCTGATTGTCATAAATCTGCAATTACAAAAGCAATCCAGTCAAGTTGGTTAGCTTTGCACAACACTATTGTAGCTATAATGATTCTTATTTAACAGTTTTACAACTTGTCTAGTGAACTAAGTGTCCTTTTTTTTTTTTTTTGAGACGGAGTTTCACTCATGTTACCCAGGCTGGAGTGCAATGGCTCCATCTTGGCTCACC